CCCTGTGGGCTGGACCAAGCAACACGGGAATCAGTAAAATCCGTATCAGGAGAATCCTGCTCTAGTGAAGTGTTTTCAGGATAGATGCCTCTGCTTTGGAGGGTGCTTAAAGGGAGTTATTTTGGGATCATGCAGATGCGTTGTAACTGGATCTTCATATATACTGAATGTCAGTGTGCAGCCCGTGCAAAATATAGACGCTGTTATATAACATATGCAGAGCAAAGAGAAGTCATTAATCTGCACTTGAGTTGCTGCTCTCTGTTAGAGATGTCTCTTTAACACATAGGTGGAACAACTTAGACCAAAGGAAAATCTTAACCCCTCGTGCAGGAGCGTGGAGGGTTTGCCAAGCCCGAAGGCCGGAGTCATGGGAATGTCTTTTCCATGTTTCCTTAAAAGAAACATTTGCAACCTCACAGTCAGCAGGGCAAAAAAACAAAGAGCGTGGAAAGATAAATCTTAAAGTCTAAAGATCTAGAGGCAGCATTAGAAAAATAGCCGTTTTTTGAGTTTTGTATTAAAAATAAAAAAGATAAAAAAGGCTTAGCATTCTGTTTTCCTTCCCCATGTTCACCAGGTGTAGCAAAGCAGAGGAAAAAAAAACAGTGTTTTTTTCCCTCTTCACCACCCCACTCTTTTGATTTTTATTTTTAAATTGGTTCTACCTTATTTTTGGCAGGAACCAGGCCCATTTGCAGCCAAGGGAGGGCCTATGGAAAAGCAACTGTCTCTAGAGCTAGTGCCACTGCTATCAGGTAAACCTCCCTCCCTCCATGACACCAATGTCGCCTGAGGTGCTCTGAATATTCGGAGCCAACAGGGCCAGTATTCCAGGCAATAAAATAATGAGGATCAAAAAAGGAAAAGTACTCACCCCAGGTAAAGTTTTAATATTGTGCAGTGCATTCTGTGCCTCGAGAGCAGCTTTTCTTGTATAAAACGTTACGAAACAACAACCTACGGAGAGAAATGAGAAGCTTTCAGAAATCAGCGCGTACGATTTGCGAGCGTACAATAGGGAGGGTGGAAAAACAAAAAAAAATACAAAAAAAAAAACATCGGTGGAGCAACACTATAAAAGCTGGAAATGCGAATTATCAGGAGGCTGCCTGGGTAACATGAATAAAAGAAAAGCTTACATGGCTGGAAATAAGAAAGTCACCCCCCGTGCATTGCCTCCATAGCACACCTACATCGTTAGTGAACTGTAACCACTTAGAAATTAAGTTAACCAAAATCAAATTGGCTTTATGCTGTGTAAATAAGGTTATATTTTTCTGAAGGCTCCCTATTAAACTTTGAATATAAGCAACGTGGCAAGCTTAGCGCAGCAGGATTTCATCGGTGCCGCCACATCAGAAAATGGGGTTAAATCAAGACCTTATTTAAAGAACCCTACCCAGAGCTAGGGGTTGTTCCTCTCGTTTTGAACCAGCAAGGACTGGGGGCCGGATACCCATCCCTATTGCAGGAAGGAAGACAGGAAGCAGCAGACTTCTCCATGGATGATAACGGAGACTGCAGGTCCCCAGCCCTGTGCAGGTGGGCAGTCCCATTTTGGGACCATGGCACACAGGGAGGAGACCACAAGGCTGTCCAGAAGCTCTGCAGCTGCCTGGGGGGCTGGAGGTCCCGGCTGTGGTGGGGAGGTGACAGCAGAAGGTGCTAGCAGAGTAAAAACCCGCTCCGCATCAATCCAGAGCATGCAATCCTGTCTGATGAATGCCAAGCCACCCCTACCATCTTAATTACCCTGGGATGGGCAATGATGGGCCTCACTGCAGCAAGCAAAGGGAGTCGTTATTCCCAGGCGGAATTATCCTGGACACGGGAAAGCACTTTCAGGCAATACAACACGCTGGCAGGTAATGCAGACTTAACATTTTTCATATTGCCAGTGAATTCCTTAAAATTTCACAGTTTACAAAGGAGGCAGCTTGATAAGGATACCCGCGATTGAACAGGATGGGGTAAAACAAGTTGTGCTTCCTCCAAGCATTTCTGCATCGGCTATTCCAATGGCGACCTTGGGACTCTAAAATTACTTAGCTCCAGAATTAAAAATGGGAAGCAAACCAAAATTCCTGACATTCAATAACACAAATTTGAGAAAATGCCACTAGCTAGCCTGTCCCATATTGTATTTTATATTATTGTATCTTCCTTAGACTTTTTAGCTGTTTAATAAGCATAATATAAATATATTTTGAACCCCAGGGGAGGATTTTTAAGGGAAGGATCAAGCAGATGTCACAACTTGGCATTTGTGTTGTCCTTTACCACAGATCTGCATGGGTTTATTTTGGATTCCAGCTATAGAGGCTTCTCCAGATATGGGGAAGCTAGCAGTCTACTGGCTTCTCATTCTTGGCACTACTTGAATGAACAGCATTTGATAGACAAATATGCTGTGAAATACTCATGCACTGGCCTCTTTTAGGATGTAAGGCTGAGCTAAAGAGAAGAGAAAAGAAGCAAAAGCAGGAGAATTGAAGGGGCAAAAGGACCTGCCATCCTGAAGGAAATTCTTGAGTCTGGCCCATGACTTTTCTGGAGGGCCTCACTGCCAAGCCAGGCAAACTGCTGGCTTTGAAGATGTTTCAAGCATTCAAATGCTCAGGAGCATGTACTATAGCAGAAAATCCCAAATTGAGCTTTTTTTTTTTTTTTTTTTTTTCCCTGAGGAAGTACTGCAAAAATAGGGTCTTCTATTTAAGAGAGCAGGCAGGGCTGGTAGCTGTCCACTGCTGAAGCGCTGCAAAGAAGCGACTTTCCTGCTCCGTTTTCCCTATGAAAATGCAATATTGGCGAAGACAATCAGTGCCTTTGCTGGAGAGGGGAACATATATTTCCTACTAAGAGAAAAGAGGAAAAGCAACTTTCTTCTCACCTGGCCCCTGCACACGCAACCTTGGCTTCATCCCCTGTCAGCCCAATGGTGTCTTGAGCCACAGCTAAACCTGCCTGACGTATGAATGACTCGGAGCCCAACAGTGCAAATCTTCTTGCCTCCCACCCAGGAGGAGCTGTTTGGGGAACCCCCCCTGTGGCAGCACCACACCACTTGGCCTTTTGCTTTCTTTTTTCACTTCTGAAAAGGAACTCCAGGACCAGGAAAAAGACCATGACGTCCCAGTCGTTGCACTAGAGACTGCTGCCTGAGCCAGCCGTAAAGATGGCACCAACAGATTACATGGATATGGTGAGGACTACACGGTGTTTTTAAAAGCACCATCCAGAAGTTGGGGATACAGGGAATAAAGGAGAGAACCAAGAGGATCTTACACCCTTGCACCCATGTATTTTATTTTCTGGTGCCAGCAATATCAGGTGCCTGTGCCCTTTGCAGGATTATGACAAACTTACGGAGCTTTTTACCAAGCAACTTCCTTTATGAAGGTCTCAACCCCTTCCTAAACCCTCCACAGGACAATGGGGGAAGCTCAGCAGTGTCACTGTTTCAGCACTTTCCCAATTGTAGCAAGAGCTGTCAATGCGATCCCGCAATCCTGCGTGCACTCGCATGCAGGATGACGATGAGAGTCCTGCCAGCGTGAGCTGAAAATCTCTTGAAAGGAGGCGCTGGGATTCGGAGGCACTGGCAGATCAAGACAGCGCAGGTGAATCCGCCAGGCTGCTCTTTCACCACACATGGAGCTGCCTTCTCTTTGTGTATGTGCCCAGGTGCTGGCCCTGGACAAGCCTGGAATCTCAATGGAGACAGTGGCTTCTTGCCAAGCCGGTGCAGCTCAAGCCAGGAAGTTAAGGAGTATTACTTTTCCTTTTATTTACTTCTTTTTTCTTTTTTCCCCCTGCAACAATGGTTTGCAACAATGCAACCAACGTTTCCACATGGATGAAGTTGGATGCAGAGCAACCAGAGCCTCCTCCTGCATGGATACTGCTGGGAGGATTTTCGGAGCGATTAGCTAACCTCCATGGACGAGGCTGGGTCTGCAGCCACCCTGCAGATGGCCAGTAAGAACCGAGCCTGGGGGCTCCGTTTTCCCTGCTGGGGTCTGCCGGCCTCTCTGCTAACCGCGTGCGAGCCCTCGCTCGCTGCCCGCCTCGGGCTGTGCCGGGAGCTCCTTCACAGGAGCCACACGTCATCCCCTGCCCCCAGCGAACGCACATGCTCTATAAATGTCCTCTGCCCACAGCATGGAAGTGCCTTTTCCTTTTTTTGATCTAGATTAAATCTGCTGCATTTTCAAGCCTTTTGGGGAAAGCGACTCAGAAGGAACCCAAGTGAGTCCATGTGCCGCGGCTCTTCCCCAGCCACCCCTATGCATACGGGGACTGAAGCGCGACACAGATAGAAAAGATACCAAGGACAAAACCCTTGCATCCACTTTTGGTTTTTCTCTGAACTAAGCTACTGCTCTTCAACAGTTGTAAATACCTAATGGCTTTAAGAGTAGCTTTTTTTTTTTTTTTTCCCCCCAGGAAACCAGCCACTTTTAACAAATTCCCGGCCTCTGCTCTGTGTGCATAATGTGGCATAGAGAGGAGGTCCCTGCGTTATGTCAGGAAAGGAAGGACCAACTTCCCACCTGCAGCTTGGCCATACCCCTTCAGTAGCTGTAGTAGCCAGCAATAAATATACAAAATAAAATTCTAAAAAAGCAGATTCAGAATTGGGTTATATACATTGTGGAAGGGTAAGGAATTGCTTGCAAATTGGGTTTATGGTAGCGAGGTGATCTCATGTTGTTCTTGGCTAGTCTGTCCCTAAAGAAGCATCATCTCATGCTGGGTGTGACTTCAGCTGGACCCTCCAAGCAGCCATCCTGGAAAATTCCTTCCTGTGTCATTTTTTTCTGGTAGCTTTATGAGAAGGAAGAAAACCAATAACACCGTTGAGAAAACCAGAATGACTGCGCTGTGACGAAAGTTGTCTTTGGTCCATTTTCATTTCTATGTCTTGGAGAGAGCGAATAACTGGGATCTTCTGCATCAGCCCTCTCTGCTTAGGATAAATCCGTCTGGGCAAAGCATTTGGAAAACTCTTAGCAAGGAAGCAGGAGAGCAGCAGGAGAGGCCAGGAGATGGTACCGCTAGCTCTGTGATGGGTCTCCTGGAGTGCTCACACCAGGGCTCTGCTTCCCACATGCAAAGGATAGCAAGCCACACACAGCACAGCAGAAATCAGGCCTTTCCTTTTTTATCCCCTTCACTGCATCAGCAAGAAATCTTGAATTTTGAGGCAAGGATACTAAAGGAAACAACACCACAAATAATCATTTCTTATGCTGCCCTCTCTTCGTTTCCTCTCTGTTTTCTCTTTTTCTCCTTCATTTTCTCACACTAATTTTATCCTTAATCTTTAATTGCCCTTCTTCTTCCTGCAAATATGCCCCTCCCTTTTCTTCCTAGCAGCAACTTCCGAGTGTAACAGGAACAGGTAACATTTACTGACTTAAGGTTACTGGCTTTGCAATGAATTCACATCCCCAGCCAGCACGCAAGCTAACTTTTAAATCCACAGCTCTGCAAAATGTGCCTTTGGAGCTAGCAGAGAGAGGGTTCAGAGCACAGATCCTGCAAAAGTGCAACTGAAAAATTCCACTGTCCTCCCTTTTTAATCCGTTCTTACAGGAGATAAATGCAGTGATGCTGTATTTCAACTCAAATGTGGAGATTAGGTTTGTACAAATTAACTGAAATGGGAACACCTCTTTCCCAAATTATATTTCCAAAATGCCACACTCTGGCCTTCATGTTCACTAGTAGTTAATGTAAACTTCATGGTGTCCACCTTCGAATCCCTGAACGTCCATGGATGTTTGTTTCCATTTGAATGCTCCATCAAGATCATTAAACTCCGTCTTTCCCCACTAAAACTTGCAAATCACAGATTAGCCAAAACCCTAATTCCACTACTCAGCTACCTGCTCAACTATATGTAAAAATACTCACAATATCATAGTTTTATCCTAAAACAATCCCTTTAAAAA